GCCAAGAATCATGTTGCAGAGACGCGAGGCACCTGACATCTGTCCTCAGTTATTATCTAGTTTTTAGCAATATTGACAGCAGCCATCTTTAACGGGGGCACGAGAATGCACTCACACATGAACAATGTAAGTGTAAATCCAGACCCAGGGCTTCGGCGTGACAGGTAGAACTTGCCTTAACCACTAGGCTACCCAACCGTTCCCGCTTTGTAGCAACAATACAAGACTGCGTTAATGATAACACGGCAGAATACTTTGGTAACAACATGTTTTATTACCCAGTATGGTGAGAACATACCCGGTCATCTATCATATATGCGCCTTATGACTTATACGAAACTCGATGCCAAATTATGTATTGCTCTTCAGCTCTGATTTCAAATTTCCCGTTTTCTGCGTTTCGTATAAGACGTATGACTTTACATGCTCGATAATAATAATCTCTATATGACAGGATAATTCATGGTAACATTATGTTTTTGTCTTGTGTTGTTCGTTGAATTTGCACTATTTTGTATTGTCATCATGCTTAACCGTGATGTTCGTATTTTGTATGTTGGAAAATCTAGTAAATTTGATAAATTGGAGGATATTTCCTTGTTGAAATTGGTTTCTGCACAAAATATTTCTATACAGATTTCTCAGTCATTTTGTTAATTTCAAAAGTGGAAACAGTTAGAGTATACAACGACATTACAATGAATTATTTACCGGTTGAGTGCCTCCCGGATTGCATACAGATATTGACAAAGATAACTGATCAAACTTGCAGGAAGTTGTAGGGTCTTTGGTCGTAAAATATTTAAATGTTTTTGTTTTGGTGCATTTAAGGTTATTGCGATACATTCTATTAATCCTTTGTGTCAAATGAAAAAACAACGGGACCTTATTTGCCACGTTGTTCAGAATACATATCATCCATGGTCATTCTACACCGTGCCATACACGTGTTGTTTTCTCGTTTCATGGTAATTCTACACACTGACATACATGTGTTGCTTCACGTTTCACACACAGAAAATAACATTATCTTTACTCATTTTTAAAATTAATGTTGGACATTTTCAATAATATACAACGTCAAAATAAGAGGGCGGTGGGGCAACGTAGTCTGATCGTCACGCCGAAGACCAGAGTTCGATTCATGGGTACCAAACCAGAAACATGAGTCTCATTAACCTATTCAGACAATGACCCTATTTTTTCAAGCCGATCCGAATTTTCTCGTATGAACTATGGTTACACTGAATTCCAGTTCCTTGTTTCACAAGAAAAAAATGATTATTTACAAATTAATTTTAATTTTAAACTTTAATAACAATGTATTTCTATACTTTATTGCGAGGTGTAGGCAGCATGACCTTAACTAAGACGTCTGCAGGACTGTCCCAGTTTGATGAGGTCGTAAAATAATTCAATACATCTGGCTCACTGGTTACCTGTTTTGTGTTTTATTGCATATTCAGTATAATTCCCTGTAACAACGCACAAGGTGATTGATATAATATCAAGTCCGTCCCAGACCGCCAAAGTTTTCAAGCGGGAGAACCTCGTTTTGACATTTCCACGATTTCCAGGTTTCCGTTTGTCAGAGCTCGCTGTACGACAGAGCGTAGTGTTGCAATATACAAGTGCTTAGGTGTGTATCAAATAATACTGATTAATAATAATGTATCCATTTAAATGAATTGGTCTCCAAAATTCTGGACTGGTTATTGTACTAAGTTGCGCAATAGGACGGGACCCAGTCAACAGCAAACGAGACTGTTGTGTAATCAATGTTTTGACTTGATGTGTGAAGCCCATTTCTTGTGTCCCCTGCCGTGATATTGAGGAATATTGCTAAAAGGGCGAAAAACTAAACTCATTCATTTATAAAAGAACATGACCAATCTGGTGAAATTGGGTTTTACGTCGTGCGAGAGAATATTTCACTCATATGACGACGATGCATGCGTGTGTATGTGCATGTGCGGCTCCTTATACTAGCCCAGACTGAAGCTGGTTTTATAGTGCTAGCTCACTGAGATACCATCCCGCAGTGAAGCATGAATACCCTACTCAGACACATTATACTGACTCCGAGCCGACCAGTCCTTATTGTACCCATTAATGCCGACCGCCAGACGGGGACCAACAAATTACCAAATTTTAACGTCTTCTGGTATGACACGGTCGGGGATCAGATTTCCACGACCTTCCACTCTCCGGGCGGACGCTCTAACCACTAGACCACGGAGGCGGCCTATTTGAAGTAAAAGGAGCAGAAAATAGTTATGAATTAATGGGCTTCTAAAATTAATTTAGGTTATTAGGTATTGTACGGGTAGGATCCGCCATTGACACCTTCTGCATTAAAAGTAAGTATTTATTAGTTGATACCTCACAGCGAAGTACTGCTACTAAGACACACCGATCTGTTGTTTTCGTTTTTGTTGTTGCCTAATTCTAATGGTTGAACCCGTGATGATCCATGTTAGAATGATAACATGCTTGTCGCAAAGAGGCGACTAACTGGATCGATGGGGTCATGCTCGATGACTTGGTTGGCCACATGTCATCGTATCCCAACTGCGTAGATCGATGCTCATGCTGTTGATCACTGGGTTTCTTGTCTAGATTCGATTAGGTACAGACCGCCGCCATATAGCTGGAATATTGCTGAGTATGGCGTTAACCTACAAACAAACATAATGCATGGAATTCAACGTAAGAATGCATTTCCACTGTTCCTCAAAACCGATCGAAGCACGGATACTCAAGGCTTGTGATCAGACCAAACATCGGAACAGTTCACTGTGTTAGAAATAGGCTGGTCAGTTTCATTTTTGTTATAGAGTAATGATTCAGCTCTTCGTCGTCTTTAGAATGCCAACAGAATTCCCGGTTCACGACCTTGTTGTGCCATGTAGTCATGGAAGGATTACACTGGGTGCTTCGATGTTTCATCATTGTCATGGTCCTACTGTCCCGTTTGATGTTTGTTTGCGTAGAGTTTCGAAGATTTCAGTGCTATCTCATAACGAAACACGCGTGACACGTATGATTCTCACCTTAGGCAAGTGAATTGCCTCTGTTCACCCAAGCAGAGAATGGGTTGCCGGTGGGATAATGCATACGACTACTTACCTTTTGCGCCTCACAGGCAGTTTGGGTTATCGGGGTAATAATGTCTATGTTGTATGTGCTTAGAACATGCGAGTGCGGGGGCGCTATAGGGTAGCCTTATTATAAATGTACATATTATATTGTGCATAAAAAGTCCTCGATGACATTTTCAACCATGATTCATATTTTACAGTCACCACTGACAGCAACCAACCAACAACACAGTCCCGCTATCGGTGTATTCATCTTTCACTGAAGGAGGGTTCGTCGAGGTCATCCTATGCTGTAGACGGTTTCACGTCCACCGCCTCGGTAACACCATCCATCCTGGACCCAACATGGGCGTGGAGTTACAACACCCTGCCTGGGTAGTCTGGGTGGACGTCAGAGTGCCAGTGAATTACGGTGCTGTAGAGACATTCCTTTATTAGTATACCATCCATACCGCAAATAGAAAAACAAAGTGATATTGTCGAGAAATTACTTCGCCACTTTCTTGCGGAGTAAGCTGCTTATACCATGATACGGTTATAACAATGTTGAACTGAAAGGAGGGCCCACTAATTTAGTTCGGTATACCCACGGTTCTTTGAAACATACAGGAAGTGACCGGAACAGAAACATAGTTCCTAACATCCTTCAGTGTGTTATACGCATGTTGGTTACAAACGTATACTCTTCACAAAAAGAAACGCATATTTGATTTTGAGAATATTGGACCCGTGTAGCTGCGACAAATCAATATAAATATACTTTTTTTTCCCAAAAAGTCTCCTTTCTGTGATTGTAAACAGCTTCAGCGCCAAAACGCAGCAACTTAAATTGTTTCACTTGTTTTAGAAGCGTTTGAAGAAATATTCGCCTAAACGTCACCAAGAAAACATGCAAAGCAAAATACACATGTAAATAAGCGGGAAAGCTCGATAACTACAAAAAGCAAAGAAGTTTGCTTGAGAAGAATGTCTGACCGAACTGTCAGGAATCGATTGGGGATTCAACCAAGAAGGCCAAGTGTCGCCCCTGTTTTGAGAGACTTCCATCGACGCAATCGCTTGCGGTGGTGTCGTAGAGTCCGGAACTTGAACCTTAAGAAACTGGAGGCCAGTCTGGTTCAGTTATGAATCACGATTTCTGCTCCACCAGCGACATGAAGGACAGCGTGTTACCGTCGGAGAAATGAACGTTTTGCCCCTAATTGCATTCGACGGGTCAACAGATTTGGTGGAGAAAGTGTCATGGTGTGGGTTGGGATCTCCAGCACAAAAACATCTGATTTAGTCTTGGTTCACGGGAATTTGACAGCAAATCGGTACATCAGCGAAGTCCTTGCACGCCGCATGCTTCCCAGTATGGACCTACAGAGGGAGCTGTTCCAGGATGACAACGTTACTTCACATACAGCACGCGTCACGGTCCGCTACAATGCCAATTCTAACGTCAATGTATTGCCATGGCCTTCCTGATCACCCGATCTAAACCCGATAGAATACCTTTCGGATGAACTCGATCGACGTGTACGTCAACGTCAAAACACGCCTCAGACACTTCCACAACTGGCCATCGCATTGCAGGAAGAGTAGGGGAGAATTCGGCCTTCGTCGACTTATCAAGTCTGTGCTCAGACGGTGCCGAGCAGTAATTGCTGTCAATGGTGGCCATACAAAGTACTGACTTTGACGCCATCTTGTGGACTCACGTAAACAGAAACAGAGGCTGTTAATAAAGGCTGCTGTTGTCTGTTTATAGGCGTATAAATTTGCACCTTTTTTGACCTTTCATGTGAACCGGTTAAAACATCTCTAGCTCCATTTTCACCTATTCTCATCTCATGGTGTACCATCTTTCGGCCTCCGGGAGGTCAAAACATTGAAATATTTTCTCATAAACTAACGCAATAAATTCTTCTAAAAGTATCTTATGCATGTTTTTCTTTTTGTGAAGAGTGTAGTTTATTGTATTTGAGTACGAAACTTATGCGTACAGTGTGTATAAACCCACACTTCTTTGTAATGAGCGTTCCTCTCAGTTATGCGCCAAATGTCATTTCAACATGACACCTTTTAAAAAATTAGTATTATCTCCCACTTGCCTGTTATAACATTGCATATCTCCATGGTTACAGGAACGCGGGAAATAGTAATGACAACTACAAATAAAGACACGGTAATGCCTTGTAACGCTATGAACACTTGGCTGACGGCTACAACGTTGAGAATCACGTGCAGGAACGTCGTCAACGTCACCACCATCATACTCGTCAGCACAGATTCGATGGTGTCCAAGCTGGGCTTAATTGAAATGTACGTGTACGGAGGTGAGGCCATAGGATTAATTATTCTTTTTAAAATTATATATACATGTATTTTCAAAAAGCGTTTGAGGAAACAAATAAAGTGCATGTTTACTCAAAACTTAAACTTTATTAGTTACTTAAAACTGTCCAGGTGGGGGTAGTCTAGTGGTTAAAGCGTTTGCTCGTCTCGTTGAAGACCGGGTTCGATTAACCATATGGGTACAATGTGGGAAGCCACTTCTGGTGTCCCCATTTCGTGATATTGCTGAAATATTTACTAAACACGGCGTAAAACTAAATTCAGTCACTAAAATTGTCTATTAACATAAATCAAAACAACACGACAGGGTTGATGTGTAAAATATCCTCTGTGTTGTGTACGTGCGCGTGCGCGTACGTGCGTATAAGTGTATACAATCTTTATATCAGTAATAAGGTTAGAAAACTCTGTGTGTATTATTATGTGTGTGTACGTGTGCGTAACACGAAAGAACCGATCATTATTTACAGAAATCATGTATGTCGTCTGAATGTTTGATCTCATACCTGTACAAACAGAGATATGGTGTCGGTTTAAAGTTTTTTCAACAATGAACAGATCTTTTGTGAAGCGTCGCTATATTATACTGAATATACTAAACCTACACGATGAAACTTGCAAAAATATTTCAAGTCTTTTAATTTGAAAGTCATTAATCGGTAGTTAGATCAGACTGACAAGTCAAAACTTAATTTATATTTGGTACTTGAGTGGCGTTTTAGAAGATGCTATTTGATGAACATAGAAATTTTCTGGGTTTCATCTTGAAGACCTAGAAAACTCTCTCTATGTTCACTATGTTGACAGCTTTTCCTATTTCTTCTGTACTTCTTTTGAAATTTTCTAAGCCTAATAAAGTCTCAGGTTTTAATGATATTATCATTTTCACAAAAGATTGTCAACATGACAGCTATGGACAAGAATGCGGGACCTTCTGCAGGCAAAACTGCACCGAGGGCCTTTGTGATGATGTGAACGGCACATGCACATGCGTGCTGGGATGGAAGGGAGATAACTGCGATGGAGATACTTTCAACAGAAGCAACAAAACCCACAGTAGATATTCAATGCCTTTAGTTCAGTTCGACTCTTTGTCGATATTACACATTTCCATGGATTAGTTAGCATAAATGTTCACATATGACAACCAATCACTTATCCTAAGATTCTCCTTAATTTATTCTGTGTGCCCCTGTAATTTCAATCCCACGTGAAATAATATATAGGTTCCCAAGCTCAGTTTTCTCGTGTCTGTGAAATGTTATGCTAATATCCTTATCCTTGCACTCTCATGAAAAAAACAGCTCAGCTTAAGTTTTCTTTATCTATATTTATTTAGAAAATGTTTTCCAAGCAAAGCGACTTGGTCGAATTAAAACTTATGTTTAAAGATTAATGCCGAGTGATCTTAATTTTCCTTTTTCCTTTTTCGTATTTTCTCCCCCAGCTCTCGTGGTCGTTGCGGTTGGCGATTAGAAACACCTAACAAAATCAAAGGGCCCCAATATGATTCCCTGTAAATGTTTTACAAACCTATGCTCTTTGGTTTCACCTAAATAATAAGTTTCGAAAGCTCCAGGCTTTCCTTGAGTTCCATCTTAAGCAGCCAATCCATGGCATCAATACCAAACTGACAACAATTAATTTTTTCTGTCGCCAGTTCCCGCAGACACGTCTAGGCTCAGCATCAGTCCGTGTTCGTAGGTCTCGTTGGGACAGGAATAACAGCTGTGGTAGTACTACTTGTTGTAATAGTTGTCCTCCTCGTCCGGAGACATCGGTGAGTATAAAGATGTCGTACGTCAACTTGTTTCTGGATTCGGTGTCCACGACGTTTCTGTTTTAAATATGTTGTTTGTGTCAGTATCTTAAATTGATGGGACTTGGTAAAGCATCATTTTACATTCACAACGTATGGTATTGGATTTACAACTTTTATTATTTACAACACTCTGTACATACAATCTCTATACCAGTCTGTTGCAGAAACATACCCTTTCATCTCTTTGAACAATGTACATCTCATTCAAAACATATCCTTAATCTCCTTGATCTCTGTACATCTCATTCTTTAATTCCATCTGGTCTCCTGTACGTACTATATATGTTGCTTGTGGTCAGATTCACCTGATGAGGAGGCAAGAAGTAGCCCAGAAACGCCGTGTTGTAGATAATACTGAGTGAGTTTGGTTTTACACCGCTTTTAGCAATATTCCAACAACATCACGGCGGGGGACACCAGAAATGGGCTTCACACATTGTACCCATGTGGGGATTCGAACCCGGGTCTTCGGCGTGACGAGCCAACGCTTTAACCATTAGGCTACCCCACCGCCCCTTGTAGATAATAAAGAAGTTGTAAATCCATACCATATATCGTTATGTTACCTTCCAGCTTCTAAATTCCCTTCACGCATCTGACAAGACTCATCGTTTAATCATTTCATTAGATCACTCAAACGATATGCCTCGTAACATTACAACACTTTTCTTACATGCAAATATAAAATCACGTTTAATGTAAATTTCCTTTCAGACAACACTCACAAAGAACACTGGAACCGGTTGTATATGATGATATCTTTAATGATATTCCTCCTGGTGGGAATGCCCAACACAGTCAAGAGAATCAGTCAAGTGTGGATTGTGACGTTATTGACGTCACATCACGTGGCCAAGACGAGGGGCCGGGTAAACTGTTCGCGGACCAAAACTGCCAAACCGATATCACGTGAAGGAGAGTCACGTGCTCAAAACACCGGGTGTTTTGGGAATCAGCGGGAGTCAATTATGGATTATGACATTATTGACGTCACATCACGTGACCAAGACGAGCAGCCCGGTAAACCTTTCACGGATATCACACCGATGTCACGTGAAGGAGAGTCACGTGCTCAAAACAACGGCTGTGGGGAGAATCATTGTGAGTCACGTGGGAGTTAGATCACACCGACATCACGTGAAGGAGAGTAACGTGCTCAAAACATCGGATGTGGAGAGAATCATTGCGAGTCACCTGGGGTTATGACGTTCTTGACGTCACATCACGTGATCAGACGGTTTTGCTCGTCAAGCCCTATACGGACCTAACTGCCACACAGTCTTCTCCTGGAGACGATTCAAAAGGGGGTTATGACGTTTTTGACGTCACATCACGTGATCCAGATGGGGCGTACGAGAAGCCCTGCATGGGTCTTACTATCAACACGCCACATCAAAACATTTCGAGAACTGGAAGACTGGAATCAACTTAAAACAAATCTCGCATTAAAACCTGTTAAAATCAGCCCCACCAAGACAAAGTGTAAGGACCAATGTCGTGAAAAGTGCGGAAAGTGATCATAAACAAGCAAGATTTTGGTTGAAACTGGTGAAAAAGATACGAAATGCCCGTGAGCTGACCAACAGATTGTGCCGTGCAATCGGAAACCAAGTTAGACAAACTGTACATATACCCGAATGCGATACCGCTGCCACGTGTAGCGAGTCACGTGGGTATTATGATGTTCTTGCGTCACATCACGTGATTTAAGTTGTCAACGCACCGGTTGCACAACATACACTACGGTTTTCATGTTATCTGTAAACTGTAAGCGTGAATGATGATGTATCGAAATAAGAATTCTGCCTGGTGTTCGAGCAAATGACACGGGCTACGTTCCATTGTTAACGAGGCAGGGGGTTTGTTAATATAAAACACTCTCCATTACCATGTGTCATTTTATTTCGATGTTGAGCTCATTCGTCCATTTGAATGACCGCATCTTTGATCTAGTGGACCAGAGAGCGGAAGACTTCCGCCCTCGAGGTCGGTGTCGGTAGTCTAATGGTTAAAGCGTTCGCTCGTCACGCTGAAGACCAGGTTCGAATCTCCAGATAGGTACAATGTGTGAAACTAATTCCTGTTGTCCCCTGCCGTGATAGTGCTGGAATATTGCTACAAGCGGCGTAAAACTATAGTCACCCACTCACTTCCGCCCTCGTCAAACCAGAAATGTTAAGACTGACTGACTGACCTGGTGTGGTTTTACGTCGCTTTTAGCAATATCAGCAATATCACGGCGAAGGAGATACCAGAAATGGGCTTCACATTGTATGTAATCGAATCGAACACGGGTCTTCGGCGTGATAATGCGAACTATAAACTACTGGGCTACCGACGCCCAAATATGGTCATGCTTGTTACACGCACATGGGTGCTAACTTTGCATTCATTCGAAGACGGGGCGTCGGGATAGCCTAGTGGATAAAGCGTTGGGTCGTCAAGCCGAGAGACACGGGTTCGAGTCCCCTCATGGGTGCAATGTGTTAAGCCCATTTCTGGTGTTCCCCGTCTTGATATTGCTGGTATATTGCTAAAAGTGGCGTAAAACTACATTCACTCGCTCATTCCGAAGACAATGAAAACGTTAACGTTATGGGAGAAGCCTGTTTTGTTGAAGCAAGTTCCTATCAGAATACTATACAGATAAATCTCTTGCTCGACATCGCGTTTCTGTTTGATATCAAGTTGAAACAATAACTATTTACATATATATATTCATACACATACACACACACACACACACACACACAGAGTGAGAGAGAGAGAGAGAGAGAGAGTGTGATTATAGCAATAAAATACGCGACGTTCTTGCATTATCCAATTATCCTCAAATTACCATGCCATCTAAAATAGACCCAAAGAGTTTATTCAAATACAGGGCTATTAAAAATGTTCCAGCTCATTAACTAAAATATGAAACATCACTAAAAATACGAGATGCGATGCTATCACTTGTTTGACCTTTGCAGAGAGTTTTTATTTTTAATTGTTATTAATTCTGATTGTGTGGATGTAAGGGACGGCAGCGTGACACAATGGGGTGATCTTTATGCTTGCATAAATGTTACTGGAAGTCTCCACCGGAAACAGTTCGACATTTCTGTGTGTAGCAACAGCGCTTCGTGGTACAGGGGAGTCAATACTTCCGGACTTTAAGTAGTACATTTCACTGAATCAGCGACTAGCCAATGGCTGCCATGGTAAACATCACGTGATCACGTCGTGGATCATCTTCTTGTGTCCGGTTCTAAGTGTTATACGCGTGTAGGCTCGCAGCTTGACGTGTAGTCGCACTTCCTCGTCTTGAAGGTAACACTTCTTATTTTCCTCGCACATTTTGTCTGATTCATACTATACTCTAGTCTGTATGCAGAAGGTTTTTCAATTCAGCGCTTAACTGCCTCGACAAGTACTCTCCGTGCTTTATAGATGTACCAGGAGGTAAGGAAGACATGGTATTTCACGCAGTCCAAGTAACCTTAGGTTCAGTATTATCCGTTACACTGCTATACTGAGTCTAGCAAACCCTAGTAAAAGGTCGCGTCAGCTAACCTTTGGACTGACGAATCAGAACACAACTTACCAAATCGCGAAAGTTAACATTTGCACATACCGTTTAAACCTTTGCCTAAAAAATTCGAACGATTCCGAATGTTATTTTCCTCACGATCGCTTCCGAGTGATACACATGGAGGACGCAATGAGTAAACATTCGCTCAAAATAGCGTCTTTGTCAATATTCAAGGATGTCATCTTGCGGAAATATAAGCTAATAGTAACCATGTCATTAGAAACCCCTAAGCGTATATACTGCAGGTCAAATATCTGTGTATTATGGGGATTTTCGTGTGTTGATAGATCAGTATCAGCGACCAGGGAAGAGAAAATCCAAAAGTCTCTCTGTCTCTGTCTCTTTCTCTGTCTCTCTCTCTCTGTCTCTCTCTCTCTCTCTGTCTGTCGCGGTCGCCGGTTCGATCATACCAAAAGACGTTAAAATGTGGTACTCGTTGGTCCCTACCTGGCGCTCGCCATTATGGGTACAACAAGGACTGGTGAGCTCGGAGTTAGTATAATGTGTCTGAGTGGGGTATTCACGCTTAACTGCGGCATGGTATCTCAGTGGGCTAGCACTATAAAACCAGCTTAAGTCTGCCGCTGCATACCGCGACGAGGTGCTCACCCTGACCTCGTTCCTTTCATGGCGGCTCATGGCCCCAGGTCTACAGTTCCAGCATGATAATGCACGGCCGCATACCGCGATGTTGACACGAAATTTCCTTCAAAACGCTCGAATCAACGTCATGGACTGGCCATCGAGGTCCCTGACCTTAATCAATAGAGCACGTTTGGGATGCACTTGGGAGAAGGCTTCGTGGTCTTAGGAACCAACCTTAGAATTTGCAGGAACTTGGCGCTGCCTTGCAAGAACAATGGCGCAGAATCCCCAACCACGTGTTCACAAGCATCAGACAGTCGATGGGGAGACGGTGTTTGGCAGTGGTGAATGCGCGGGGCGGCCATACACGATATTGAACTGAAATTTCGCATTTTATTCTTGTGACTTGACATTCTGTATACCCATGATTTGGAACGGCGGTGTAGCCTAATGGAACTGATTATGGCTCTGTCCAGTGTATCGAGTACATCACACAGATCTCAGCACTAAAATAATAATAATTTAACCATCTTACCATCTCTTGTTCTTTTATAGTGCCCTGAAGAAAGAATGTGAAGTTTCTTTTTGATTCGGTATATGTTGCAACTGTAGGTTTTATCGTCATTTGATACTTTTGATTGACCAACAGGATTCGAGAATCGTACAAATTCATGAGTATAATTACATGTAATCAATATTTTTTCAGCAACTTAATAAATAGATGCCTCATAATTATACCCACTTGGTCTTCGATCATACCAAAAGACGTTAAAATGTGGTACTCGTTGGTCCCTACCTGGCGCTCGCCATTATGGGCACAACAAGGACTGGTGAGCTCGGAGTCAGTATAATGTCTCTGAGTGGGGTATTCACGCTTAACTGCGGCATGGAATCTCAGTGGGCTAGCACTATAAAACCAGCTTAAGTCTGGGCTAGTACAAGCAGCCGCACATACACATACACACGCATGCACGTCGTCATATGAGCGAAATATTCTGAAGTACGACGTTAAAGCCCGTGTCACCTGACCTCACCTACTGCTGCTGACCCTATTGTGATACAATCCAAGATAGGCCAATATCTGTAGCACACTAGCATCCTATGATATTCCTGGAATGCGGATTTAAAATGTGTTATATTTGACATTATTATTGTTTGAAGAAATAGCGTGAACAAATATAACAATTGGTTTTGATCAACATTTCCTCATACATATATATGATTTCTCCATTTTTTAATTCTCACAATATATTTTTAAAATATACTAAATAGGAATGGATCATGCGTCTACATATTGCAGTAGTTACACTATTGCAGTATAGATACTAGTCATCATAGTTTGAAAAAAATGATTCACCAATAATATTCAATCCCTCATAAGATGTGTTCATCAGTCAGTGCTATGAGTCACAACATACGTTGGGCGGTGGGGTAGCCTGGTGGTAAAGCGTTCGCTCGTCACGCCGAAGGCCCGGGTTCGATTCCCTGGTGGATTCCATGGGTACAATGTGTGAAACCCATTTCTGGTGTCCCCCGCTGGATATTGCTGGAATATTGCTAAAAGCGGCGTAAAACCCAACTCGCACTCACTCACTCACAATATACGTTAATTCAATAATTCCTACACAAGTCTGATACCAACTGATACTCTGAAAATAACAGTAAATTACCGAGATATGTCTCAATATGTAACAAATACGGACTACATCAGAGAGTTTGTTAATAAATAAATATATCCAAACGACATCTGTATCTTCTTGCTTTGGTAACAGATGTTGACAATATATGTTTGCTACAAACCGTCTACTCTCCAGCTATAGCTTTATATCCTGATTACCATTAATTTTAGGAATACATTTGCTACAGAAACTATTTTTTAAAAACAAATTTTGTCATGATAAAAAAAATCGAATTTAATGCCATAATCATTGTATGCAGTATTATACACAAATATGAAATAAAATTTCAACATGGTGCAATGCATCTGCTGATGTAGAGAATGAAATTATTTGTTTTGCTTGTGTAAAAATTTGGAAAATCAGTTTACAACAACTAAACATAGTCGAACTGCAAATAGACACTGCAAGTCAGAAAAATATCAATTTAATGTTTACACAGTCAAAAAAAGCAAACAAACCTTATGGAAGTTGAAATTTAGTATGAAATTTAAGATAATGCAATAGTGGTTCCCCCAGGATCCAAAAAGGGCAGGGCGACAGAATTCCAAAAAGGGCACTCCTGTTACACAAGAGGCATGCAATGACAAATTTCAAAGTATCAAGATATCCATGCACACGATTCTAAAAGGCTCAAAGAGCACAGTTATTTCACTTAACCTTAACATGAAATATAAAGAGCTAAATATAGCCAAGTTTTGATATGTATTCTTTGAACAGAAATCTTTTGAAGAATGCACTAAAAGAGCTCAATCTCTGATATATCAGTTTCTTTGTGTATGATGAAACATTTCAGTAGCTGAGTACTCTTCAATATACATGTATATTTAATATAAAACTTCTGTGTCACTTAATATCATTTCTTCTATTCAGAATTGCCATTTTAACATCTATCCTTTACTTATCATAACAGATATGTAATCACATTTTAACAAACATATATACTACTCACACTTTGCTGAGGATCACAAAAATTCGCAACGTTACCTAAACGTAGATTTATAATTTGAAATTGTATCCATTTAAGACTGGATAAATAATGATATGGTAACACATCTTTAGGAAAACAGCCACTTTAAGCTAACTGTATGCACTTGATACATGAGTAAATATAAAAATGGTTTTCATGGCACCAATCAACCATTTTGCAAATCATGGCACGGGTCATTGACAAGTAGACAACACCTGTCCATGGCAGGTATGGGATCCACCAGATGAAATGACAAACTCAAAACTTGGATCCATGCTTACAATTGGCTTAGATATTTAAACCAAATTTGACCCCACATCATAGTATTCTGTTGAATCAATAATTTGATCCTTAGCAAAATGTGAATAGTATATTATATTCTAGTCTGTATGCAGAAGGTTTTACAGCGCTGAATAGCCTTAACAAGCACAATGCGTGCTCTATTAATGTTCCACGAGGTTAGGTGGACATGGTATTTGACGTCGTGTCCACCTTTCATCCATACAATCATTCGATGCACCATAAACCCTTACAGATACAAAAAGGATTTGAGTGATTTGCCGCTCATTTTCCAAATTATATTTTGAACTTTGAATTAAGATATACCAACGGAAAAGTAGCATAGCATTAAAATTGGATAAAATAGAGGGTATTTGAAAAGTTATAAGAATAACTGTAAATAAACAGAAAGCAAAGCACTTTGCATGAAATTTGATGTCACCGATCGCGAGTGGCACGTGCCCTTTGTGCACAATGAACTTACTCACTTTATGCATACATGCATGCTTTTCATACCTGAAGTTCCCAAACCTGATATTGAAATTCTCCAGTCTCTGAATATTGTGGAAAACACGTTAATTTCAATCTAAACTACGCGTGCGCTATGCCACGGCTTTCAGAAAATCAGCGTCTCTCGCGCCGTGGGTATGCTGGAGACTGGAATTACCTAAAATGAAGTGTCCAGACATTTTGGTTTCATGGAAACACGATCTCATCTCTATGGAGATGCAACATAATGGGAACACGTGAGATCTGCCTCAGAACGGTCGTCCATGCGTGACGCCCATCGTCAGGAAAGGCTCATCTGGCTGCTCGAATCGACTCCAGACAGCCAGTCTTGGCTGTCGTAAGTTAATGTTAATGTATGGGACCTATAAGCTCTAAGAGAGGCTTCGAAAATACGTACCAATCAGTTCCAAGACTGCACGGAACCGACTGATGGAGCACAACATCCGGCTTGCGATACGCTCAATGTTGCTCCAACGTCACCGACAGGCACATCTTGCCTGATGCAGACAGCATCTACGGTTCATGAGACAAGATTGGGACGGTGTTTTGTTCGTGACATCATCTGGACAGCTCTGATGGCAGGGCAAGGGTGTACAGACGGCAAGATGAACTGTATGCTGACACGTACGTTGTTCAACATTCGACATTTTGGTGGCGGCTGCGTTATGGTAATTGGGCGTCATCACATCTCATGGTCGGACACAACTTGTGATTATCACTGGCAATCTGACAGGGCTGCGATACAGGGATGAGATCATTGGACCTCATGTGCAGATATTCATTTAAGGACAGAGACGTAATTTCTTGCTTCAGCAAAATAATGCCCGTCCACACGTCGGTGATTTCCCGAAACAGCAGAACATTCTGGTACTCCCCTGGCCGGCTGCTTCTCCGGACCTGTCCCCTATCGGCCCGGAACAGTCATTGACATTAGCTGAATTGGAAACAACATTTCTCAAGCTTTCTTCAAATGGCGGAGTGTCGTCTATGCGTAGTCGTTGTCAAACCTGCATTAACGCCAATGGTGGACACACACGATACTGAATTTGTGAACTGACGTTTGACACCACATCTCTTCAAGGACGTGCCACGATGTGTAGAGTCAAATTATACAGATTTCGATATTATCCTGTCAATAGTTAAACAGTGATTAAGTAAAACACCACAAATCATGTTATTATCTTTTTGCATAACATCAAATATTACACAGTTACTATATTCCAGAAATATATGAAGGTGACGACATAATCCGTTCGTGACTGATTTTAAAATTTCTTGAACATTATTTCTCAACTTAAATATCTGTGTTGCTTTCAAACAAAAAATTCCCCACATGGGCACAATGTGTTAAGCCCATTTTCTGGTGTCCCCCGCCGTGATATTGCTGGAATATTGCTAAAAGCGGCGTAAAACTAAACTCAGTCAGTCAGTCAAACAAAAATCCCAACATGTGCGGGACCCGTGAAGATCCGGGTTAGAGTTGGTCTTTAGTAATCCATGTTTGCCGTAGGCGACTAACGGAATCGGGTGGTCACACTGATCTGTTGAAGGTCTAAAGCAAACTCTTCCTTCTATGTAAAGAGATGGAAGTGAACACTTGAGGTTCTTAACCTTTCACACGACATGGCTGTCTGACTGCTGTCGCGAGTCGACGATGTACGGATGTGCCTTTTTTGATGAGGGTATGGGACCAAAATTCAGGCATCATCAGCGAGAGGACGAGAATTGGACCCATACGACAGTTGCATTGACGAGGACGTTTGCGATGGGAACAACATCGTACAGGTGGAAGTTGGCGAGTGTGGTTCATTGATGAATCACGATTTCTGCTCCGACGCCGAAAATAGGCGTACGCTGTCTTCCACAGGTCAACAGATGCAAGGGCGGAAGTATGATGGTGTAGGGAACTATATTCTGTACATAGAGGTCTGATGGTTGGTGGAACAGTGGAATTGAACAGCACATCGCTACATCAGTCAAATTCTCCAGCGTCACCTTCTTGCGATTATCTACCAGAGTGAATTCTTTCAACATCGCAACGCACAGCTCGTTTCAATGACGTCCATTCTTGCCACTGTCTTCACGTGCTCCAATAGAGGATATCTTTGACGAACTCTGTAGACGTGTACGGCGATATCGACATACGCCACATACACGTTCACAAACGGCCAACGCGTTTCAGAAAGAAAGGGGAAAATTCCACAGGACAGAATGGAGTAGCCTAGTGGTTAAAGCATGCACTCGTCACGCCAAAGGCCCAGGTTCGATTCCCCACATGGGTACGATGTGTGAAGCCCATTTCTGATGTCCCCCGCCTTGATATTGCTAGGATATTGCTAAAAGCGGCGTAAACCCATACTCACTCACTCACAATCAGAATTGTTATGACTAGAGACTATGTGACTTTCACCATGCTAAGTTTCATCTTTGCATCAATTGAATAAACTGTGCATATTTATTTTGTTAGCTCTAATTTAGTAAACCTATACTTTTGTTTCTGTTTGAAGAGTATATATTGTCTTTACTGACAGATTGGCTTTGAAACTGCTAATCTGTCTTCTTAATGAGGGTGGTTAGGTAGCCTAGTGGTTAAAGCGTTCGCTCGTCACGCCGAAGACCCGGGTTCGATTCTCAACATGGGTACAATGTGTGAAGTCCATTTCTGGTGTCCCCCGCCGTGATATTGCTTGGATATGTCTAAAGGCGGCATAACACCATACTAACTCACTCACTCTTAATGATTACTAGTATTAATTCATTCACCATCTGGACATGAAAGGTGATAGCTTTCATTGCTAACATTGCTACATTCGGTGACAAACACTCATACTCTTTAACATTATTCCTTTTGTATTTTCTTTATTAATGTGCCTCCTATTGCCTTTATCGGTACAGACATTACTGCCAGTACACAGCTCAACATCGACGCCTTGTATCTTCAGGTTTCCCCCATCACCTCCATCATGGCTACTGGGCCATTTACCATTGTTGCCATATCAATATTTACACTGTTTGCACATGGTAAGTACCATTTTGTATTTGATGCCTTTAGGATGTAGGAATTTCAGTTTATCATGAGACGTTAACTTATGTGATGTTAGAGTATCCTGTAACCATGGAGGGTTAATGTATAGCAGTTTGGTTTGGGAAATAAGGGTTAATGTATAGCAATTCGTTCTTGTTGTGTTCTGTGTATCGTCATAATATGACAAGTTTGTGTTGCGCCATTACAAGGGATGAATAATCGTTGCACTAAAGCAATAACATTACTGGAAGTTTGATGCAGTTCCGGGGTTTTGTTTGGACTTGTACCATGCAATCCCTATTTTATTCAGGTGACAAATTTACAAGCCTTTGCATGTGTTTATGACGGGTGACCCGATGAGGCAGGATACGCTCACCTGTCAGCGAACAAATGACATCATCTCTATTTTATAATGATTCGTTAAAAATGGACATGATTATGTCGGAATTGGGTTTTGAATGGAAGTGATACACATGATGGAAGAGAGTTATTATAGACATCAACTTCTTTATCATGAGGAACACGTTTTGGAGTATATCATTTCTCCTTTATCAGGTGAATGAATGATATGAAGCAGAGAGCATATATATGTACATGTAAGAACAACTAAAACAATAAGACAACAAAAATGCAATGTAAACAATGAAATACAACAGTTAACTGGCGTTGATGTGTGATTGGCAAAGGACAAATAGAAGCCAGCATTTAACAGTTAATTAGCGATGAATCGACACCAACTCTTAACAGGTAATTAGCGCTGAATAGAAGCCCCCTGATGAAGGAGTAAGGATATACTCCGAAACGCTGTGTTCCACATACTAAAGAAGATGACGTCCAAGATACTCTCTTCCTTAAGGTCGGAATTGTTTTTATGGACGTCGAAAGGGTTTTGTCGTTTTTAGTTATTTCAGTTATTGTGATGAAGGGAATTTATCCTTCAACCAATGATTATTGTACACTGCATCCAGGTGAAGACGCCGTAACCAACAACCCTTTGCGGGGCGACAAGTTCGAGTGTACAAACGGAAGAATAATTCCATGGAATTGGAGATGCGATCGGGACAACGATTGTGGAGACAACTCTGACGAGAGCAATTGTTGTAAGTACCAGAAAGTATTTTGGAAAAAGGCCGTGTCATTAATTTATGTCATTGACATAATCAGTTTTTCATTAAGAATACATATTTATTAAGATCAAAATAATCAGTTATTCATTGATTCTAAATATAGATCTATAGATACAACACAGGGCCCCTATTCTCGAAAGTGTCCCAGCTAAGACAGATCCTAAGTAGTTAAGACAGAAGTTAGGACATCCTACCGTAAGGATAAGACCCATTCTCGAAATGATCCTATCCCTGTCCTAACTTGTGCTACCTATCCTAGCTAGGATAGCGAGCTCTTCAGTAGGTGAGATAGAAAAACCTTCATTTAGTTGGGGATTCCCCTAAATAATACCCATGATTCGTGGCATAAAAAACACATAATATAAGGAAATTCAGCTTTTGATGGACTTAGTAGATCTAGAAGAAATTATTCGATATTTTCATCACATTATAGTAATTGGAAAATTCATTTTTTGACAAGGCGATAACAATTTTACTTCAGAATTTGAAAGTCTGCCAAAAAGAAATAAGGATATTAAAGATATGTGTAAAAACATATTTTCATTGTATTTGTTTTTTATGAAAATCATGACTTGAACTCTCATTATGCGTCATCTCACAAACTGAAAAATTCACCTAGGAAATAAAGAGGAGTTACTTCTCATATCAAGTTGGCCTTGACATTGACATTTTACGTGAATGTGACTGAAAAGAGCAATGTTGTGATTATAAAGGCCGAGAATAGGTAAGAATTGAACAAATCTCTTTTGTAGATCTAAAGAATGCGTGCATTGCAACAAGTGTGTCTATTCATTACCGATTAATTGATAATATGAACTGAAGAAACTCTTCATAACTCATCAAAACTGTGTGCTGTTGTAAATTCAAATGTAAGTTTGACGAGTTATTTTGTTTGACGTCAAAATTGGTGAACAAACAAGTACCACTCTATGTTGACTTCCACTAAGATTGACTAAGGACACGTCAAAACCTATCCTAGTATTTGTCCTAAGTTAGTACATCCTAGCGCTAGGATACTTTTCGAGAATAAGGTAGGACACCTATCCTAGACCCTAGGATCAAAGTTAGGACATCCTTGGGCTAGGATCCTTTCGAGAATAGGGGCCCAGGACACGTAATCCTAATATTTTCTTATACACTATGGGTGAGAACGCTCGATATCAAATGTGGCACAGTGCGTGTGAGATCATTTTGCAGGTCATGATTGGCTACCCTGTGGTTCCGACCTGAGGTCAGATTAATATGACGAACTGCTTTCCTGATTGTAATATATTGATCATTTAGTCGTGTTTAGGTCGAGCTCACATCTGTGTCGAACCTCAAGTCAAAACATTGATTACACAAAAGTCTCGTTTCCTGCTGACTGGGTTCCGTCCTATTGCGCAACTTAGTACAATAACCAGTCCAGACATTTGAGACCACTTCATTCAACTGGATACATAAATATTAATCAGTTATGTATTATTTGATACCTCTAAGCACTTGTATATTGCAACTTTACGCTCCTTCTAATCCTTGCAGACATGTCGTGCAGCGTGCTCTATCGTACATGGCCCAGTTTCACAAAGCTCTCGTAAGCCTAAGATCTCGCAACTTTTCTGTTAGTAATCGTACCTCCTATGCTGTGGCATAGACCTACAACAGTCGTAGCGCTACGAGAGCTTTGTGAAACGGGGACCAGGGTGCTTTGTGAAACGAAGCCCAGGGTGCTTTGACAAACGGAAATCTAGAAATCGTGGAAATCTCAAAACGAGGCTCTGCCGCTAGAAAAGTTTGGCGGTCTGTTGCGGACTTGATATTTTATCAATCACATTGTGCGTTACAGAACTACACTTAATAAGCGCAAGGAACACATAACAAGTGTAACCAGTAAGCCAGATGCATTGTGAATCATTTTACGACCTCATCAAACAGTGGCAGTCTGTGACGTCCTAGTTAAGGTCATGCTGCCTACACCTCGCCATAAAATATAGAAATACGATGTTATTAAAGTTGAAATTAAAATTAACTTGTAAATTCCATTTCTTTATGAAACAAGGAAATGGAATTCAGTGTAACTATAATTGTTTGTAGTGCCTCTTTTCACTTTTACACGAGGAAAATTCGGATCGACTGAAAAGTAGGTCATTGTCTGAATAGGTTAGTGAGACTCATGTTTCGGTTTGTATGGTTTTAGAGTTTGAACAGAAATTCATAGCTCTCACCTAGTCAAACAAACAGAGGTCTTACCCAGTGTACATTATTATCAGCCCTGACAATCCAAAGGTATAACAGAAACGTTTGTGCGGAGGGTCACACTTGACATAATTAGTAAACAGAACGTCACATGACATCCCAAATGAACGTTGTATTTTGTATTAATGCGCAACTGTGATCATGAGAATAGAGGCAATATGTATAAGGGTGCGACCCTATGGTGTGTAAGATGCCATTCATTTTACATCTCGTAGTTTCGAAACGTTATATACGTTTTGAAACAAGTTCATGTAAGATAATGATATCTGACAGATACTCGTATAGTAGTCTCAAAATACCTGACCCGTGAACTTCCGGGTTAGAGTAGATCTTCAGCAACCCATGCTTGCCATAAGAGGCGACTAACGGGATCGGGTGGTCAGGCAACTGCATAAGTCGATGTCCATGGTGTTGATCACTGGATTGTCTGGTCCAGACTCGATTATTTACAGATTATTTACATAGCAGGAATATTGCTGAGTGCAGCTAAAATAACAAACAACAAACAAACTTCAACCATAGCTATGGATTTAAACATGCGGAAAATGAAGTGGTTTCACTGCTCTCTTTTATGATAGCACAAATGTGTAAATCCGTAGAACAGAACGGACCAGCTGACCAACACCCAATGATATACTATCGATATACCACTTACGTTTTGGCTAAACAGTTTCTTCCCCTATCAGCCAAGCCGAGAGGTTTAACACTGAGTTTTATCATTAAGCAAAATCAGATTAAGATTATTTCATAGATGTCCAAATCAAAATATATTTTCATAATATTTAACGACCATACAAATAAATATACCCTATTCTAAATTACAATTATTTGCATAAAACTACAGGGGCAGGTTTCATCCAGTAACCGATGTGTAAATCTGTTCAGTGTATCTCACCGGCAGATCGTGTCGAGATAATCCCGAGTATGATAATCTAAAATAGGTGGATGATAATCTATAATCTGAATTTTACATGTTTTTATGTTCTTAATTTACTATACTGACGTACATTAGAAAGTACACACCTGGTGTTTGGGGACTATTTCCCCAAAAACATAAATATTTTGCTGGCAATGTTGTAATTGCGTACGAAATATATGTGATGTTTTGGAAACACTTCCACAATGTTTATGACAAGGCAGAATCAATACACTTTTTAACTATTAATGCTGTTTTTAAGAAAATATTTTACCAAAGAATCAGGTGTGTACTTTCTTTTGAACGTCAGTTGTTATGAAAGCTTAACGTGTAACGTTGATGCTAACTGTCATGCACTTCGAAAAAGAAGAAGCTCGCGATATGTCAAGATGATCTAATATAGGGAGCATTACAATGGTATTTTTACTTTCAGCGACATCTACTTGTGGTGCAGATGAGTTTCCATGTCAGAATGGGAAATGTATCCCTAATAGATGGACATGTGACAAGGAGAACGATTGTGGCGACAGCTCAGACGAAGCTCGCGACCATTGTAGTGAGTATAGCATACCATTAGCTTTTCATCTTAAAAGTGATACAAACTTTCCAAACAGCCACTTTTGCAGATTAGTCATGATCTGATATCCCGATTGTCGTGGTGGGTTTGTTCAGACAAATATGATATGTGTATTTTATAAGCATTTCAGCTACACGCCATTGCTTTTCTTTCGAGAGATCAGTGTAATTTGTGCTCATCCTTGATCTTACCATACGCCTCTGCAAAGATCTTCGACGACCCATACCTGTCGCAAAGGATCGGGTGGTCAGGCTCGATGACAGTTGATACATGTGATTGTATCCCTCATGTTCATGAGATCAAGCAATTGTCTGGTCCAAACTAGACCACCTGACTGTGGTCTTAAACATAGAAAACAAAAGCAAGATCAATATATATTTTCCTTTTAGGCAAAAAAACATGCAGCCCAAATATGTTCGTTTGCGATAATGGTGAGTGCATCTCTTCAAGCTGGGTATGCGATGGAACTAAAGATTGCAACGGAACTGGCAAGGAAGATGAAAAGAATTGTTGTGAGTATTCATTCAGTTTTGATCATGTACCTGTTGAATTGCGACTTTGTTTTAAATTAGTAGTGTCCTTTGTCAATAATATTCATCCTATGAAACACTTTTTACAGATGTGACATGAGATTTTGTTTGTTAATTGGAATGATCTTTTAGCTGTTCAGTGTAGGGAAGACCAGTTCACCTGTGATGATGGACAGTGTATAGCACAGAAGTGGAAGTGTGATGGAGACAAGGACTGCAAAGATGGCTCTGATGAAGCCGATTGTGGTACGTCGCTTAACATTAACATACATTATTCAGCTCTTCGACCACAGTTTCGTTTGCTTTCCTAAACATGGAAATGACTCTTGAAATAACATTTCTTGTCTAGTTTAAGTGAATGCGTCAAGTTTTACTTTTAGCACTATTCAAGCAACATCACAGCAGGGGACAATTCTGGAAGTTATTGAAGAAACATAAGACTGTAAACACTACAACTCAACATATTCCTATAAAACAGTGGTTTGATCATTTTCATGATTTATTTAACATTTACATACCTGAACATACTGCTAACACTCACAATGAACAGTCAGATGTTTCATGGGAATCCTGTGAAATATGTAATGAAGATTTGAACAGACCTTTTACAGAGGATGAGATCCATAAATGTATAAAGAATCTGAAACACAATAAATCACCTGGACCTGATGGAATAGTGAATGAATTCTTCATATCAACAAGAGATTATATAAAACCAATGCTGACAAAACTATTCAATAAAATGTTTACTAACAAGTCATTTCCTCCAGCCTGGGGAAAGAGTGTTATATGTCCTCTCCATAAATCTGGAAGTCTAACTGACCCCAATACCTATTGGGGAATATCTCTCATTGATTCATTGTGCAAAGTTCTGACAAGTGTGATAAATAACAGGCTCAAACAGTGGTGTGATGACAATAACATTATATCTGAGTCTCAAGCTGGATTTAGGCCTACATATTCCACCATAGATCATATATTTACACTGCAAGCCATGATTCAGAAATATCTTGTGAAGAAGAGAGGTAGACTTTACTGCCTCTTTATCGATTTGTCCAAGACATTTGACTGTGTCCTGTTCTGAAGTCTTCAACAAATTGGAATTAAGGGTGAATTTTTTAACTTTATTGTATCAATGTATTCTAACCTATCGGCTTGCATCAGGACTGACCACGGTCTTTCAAATTATTTTAATTGCAATGTTGGAACCCGACAAGGATGTATAGTACGCCCACAGATATTCATAATCTTCATTAATCAGCTTATTACAAGAATGGAAGAAACCGGTGGAAGAGGTATATTCTTAAGAACTGACTCTCCGGATATTGTTGGCCTCATGTATGCAGATGATGTTTCAGCTGTTTCAGATTCTGCCAATCAGTTACAGAAAAAAATAAATGTAGTTGAAGAATTTTGTGATGCCACAGGAATGCAGTTAAACCTGAACAAGACAAAGATAATTGTTTTCAAGAAAGGAGGCCCTCTCAGAAACTATGAAAAGTGGTATTTCAAAGGTCAACAAATCAAAACTGTAAATGTTTATAAATATCTTGGAACATTGTTCACGCCGAAATTATCATGGACAAAAACTCAGCTATGCCAAGCAGCACAAGCCACTAAAGCTCTATTTTCACTCAACAGATTTCAGCAAACTTGTGGATATTTAGACTTAAAGGAACTGTTTAGAATATTTGATAGTATGATAACTCCTATATTATGCTATGGTGCGGAAATATGGGGATCTAACTATTGTAAAGTCATTGAACAGGTTCAACTCAAATTCTGTAGAAAATATCTGAGGCTGAACAAGAACACTAATAACAACATGGTCCTGGGTGAGTGTGGCAGAACTCCACTGCAGTATTACTACATGTGTAGAGCAGTCAGCTACTGGTGCAGGCTTATTCATATGGAGAGTAACAGACAACCACAGCAAGCATATCTCATGCTCAAGTCCTTGGATGATTGTGGGAAGATGACATGGGCTACTCACATCAGGGCTCTACTCTTTCAATATGGATTTGGCTTTGTGTGGATAAGCCAGGACATTGGGGATACAAAAGCTTTTATATATAGTTTTAAACAAAGATTACAAGACTGTCTGACTCAGAACTGGCACTTATCTCTTTCAGAATCTTCCAAATGCAATTATTCCTCACAGTACATGTCACTACTGAATGCTGAAAAATATCTGCTTTCACCTGAAATACCATGATACTATAAAATAGCCATTGCAAGATTTAGATGCAACAACTTCAGACTAGCCATAGAAACTGGGCGACACTCCAATACCCCACGTGAAGAAAGACTGTGCACCTATTGCTATACTAATAATATATCTCTTATTGAGGATGAATATCATGTAATGATAGTCTGTGACAAGTACAGCCAAGAACGACAACTCTGCTTCCCCCATAACAGCTATCAACCGACACTCAACCACTCCATAAACCCGATGTCTACTGAAAACATAAAGACTATTAAACAAATCGCAAAATATCTCAGTAATGTCTTAAAGCTACACAGTTAACACCGCATTATTAATATTTTTCAATGTAACTGTTATTATGCATGCATAAATCTTTACCAAACTCCTATGTTTGTTGTATGGGCCTGAGGCCTTAAAAATTGAATAAATTCTGTCTGTCTGTCTGTCTGGTCCAAACTAGACCACCTGACTGTGGTCTTAAACATAGAAAACAAAAGCAAGATCAATATATATTTTCTTTTAAGGGAAAAAAACATGCAGCCCAAATATGTTCGTTTGCGATAATGGTGAGTGCATCTCTTCAAGCTGGGTATGCGATGGAACTAAAGATTGCAACGGAACTGGCAAGGAAGATGAAAAGAATTGTTGTGAGTATTCATTCAGTTTTGATCATGTACCTGTTGAATTGCGACTTTGTTTTAAATTAGTAGTGTCCTTTGTCAATAATATTCATCCTATGAAACACCTTTTACAGATGTGACATGAGATTCTGTTTGTTAACTGGAATGATCTTTTAGCTGTCCAGTGTAGGGAAGACCAGTTCACCTGTGATGATGGACAGTGTATAGCACAGAAGTGGAAGTGTGATGGAGACAAGGACTGCAAAGATGGCTCTGATGAAGCCGATTGTGGTACGTCGCTTAACATTAACATACATTATTCAGCTCTTCGACCACAGTTTCGTTTGCATTCCTGAACATGGAAATGATTCTTGAAATAACATTTCTTGTCTAGTTTAAGTGAATGCGTCAAGTTTTACTTTTAGCACTATTCAAGCAACATCACAGCAGGGGACACGAGAAGCAGACTTCACACATTGTATCCAAGTGGAGAATCGAACCCGGGTCGTGACGAGCGAAGGCTTTAACAACTAGTCTACTCCACCGCCCTAGTCTTGTTAAACAAATACTTGTTGTAATAATTGTACATCTTTATTATTAAAAGTATTTTGGTGAGATGCCACTGATGGTTCGACTTTGACAAGAAGGGAAATTAACCCAGTGGCTTATTTTTCAACCAAGCAACAAATGAAATTGAAATTCCTTTTCTTTCAAGCGTCATCCCGAACTTGTGCCGTCAATACGTTTCGCTGTCTCGATGGCGCATGTATCTATGAAGCCTTGTGGTGTGATGGAAACTTCGACTGCTTTGACCACAGTGATGAAACCAACTGTAAGGAAATGTGTTCCCAGCAACTATTTAAATGCAAAACGTCTGATAAATGTATTCAGCTGTCCTGGCTCTGTGACGGTCATTTTGATGACTGATGAAAATTGCATTTTTTATTCTTTTTCTCATGTGTCTTTTGTAAATATTTCAATTCTCAAGAGGATATCACTTCCTGGTTTCTTGATATCGTTGAATATCGCCTCCAGTTTTTGCATGTGGTAGTATTGTCCATTTCAGGCAATACTGGATGTGACATCGGGGAGGTTATGTGTTTAGATGGGCATTATTGTGTGTCGAAATCGGTGCAGTGTGATGGTGCCAAGAACTGTCAAGATGGCTCAGATGAACTAAATTGCACAGGTGAGTGGGTGTAGTGTATATGTTACAGTGAATATGTCAAATCGGTGATTTTGTAGAATCACTGAAAATTTCAGAAATTTTATAAAATTCCTGATTCCTGATGTTTGACAATACTGCTTGTAAATATTGCATATTTAATGTTTCTTTGGATTTTTTACACGTTTTAGTCTGAACATATTACAAACAATCTTGTCAAAACAAACACTTAGAATGCGATATATTCATTTCATGGAATATGTAAAAAAATGGTTGTGATTTTCAGGGATTTGGTTAAATCCCTAGGAATTCCAGGGATTTTGTGAAACCACCGAGTGAATCAGGAATTGTATAAAATCCCTGAAATAGAAACGTCCTTGGGAAGAGTAGCATACAGGCAACACTTTAGCAGAATGTCTTTCAAAGAGCATGAAACGAAACTGACTCAGCATTGAATGTTTTAGTAAAGTATTCATGTTGTTTAGCCATAGACATGAACAGGTTATTTCATGATTTGATGGCTCAGTGCTTATATCATCGCATCCCATGATCGATGCACATGATGTTGATCACTGGACAGCTGTTGACAGCTGGAGTGCGCCGTTAAACAACAAACAAACAAACAGCCTACATGATGAACCCAGAAATCAACACGCAAAAGAATGCACTTTGAACCAAATGTTGATATGCAATTAACCGTTGTATTATAACACTACGACTAAGCTTCCAATTAAAACTGATTACTACAAAGTAGTGACAATGACAATATATAGTGATGTGGCTATTTAGAATTAAATGGCTGTAGGAAATAGAGTAGCAGAAATAATAGCAGTGAAATCTATACTAATAGTATTCACCTAACAACAGTGGTCAAGTTGACAAAAACGCCGAAATTGGAATATTATCTTCACCCGGTGGCTGGTTTTGCTGTAATATGAGATAATATAGGGGAATGCGCTTTATCCCTTATATTGTCCAACAAAACCTCCCAGAATGTATCATCATATGCTGGAGTTGTCTGCTCCTGTTCTGGAGAAACTGAAGATTACACTTAACACCAACGGCAGCAAATTAGGGTAACCTCCTCACCACAATTTGCATTAATCGGTAATACTTTCCTGCCAACTGGCATTCACAATTTGGTGAACTTTTACTGAATCTTCACAGAAATAAAGTAATACAATTACCACAGTGTTTAACACTATATTACCCTGTCTTATAACAACATATACTGAGGGGAAAAAATAAGGTATCACATGCAAGCACAATTGTACCCATATTTTGTTCCAGGTTTCTTCACAAGCTTTGCGATACAAAGCTTGTGAAGAAAAAAATAGAGGAACACTTGTCCTTTCATGTGATCACTTTTTTTATTCCCTCAGTATATTATGATCAAACGGAGGTACCTGTCATTGGTGTATTTGTTGCCTCTACAGCACTCCTGTCGTGCCTTACAGATGTTTCAATATGCAATACAGTGTAGTAACTTTGGCCTGATAACCTCCATACCTTGTTATTATATGGAAAGATGCTCAACCATTTACGTATGTCCTTCTAGCCCTTGCAGGTGATGCATGCAGCAATAACAATGGTGGATGTGAACAAATCTGTGTCAACCTACCCGGAAATACGAGCAAGTGTGGCTGCAATCCAGGTTACAGTCTCACGAATAATTCCCAGACTGTGTGTACAGACATTGATGAGTGTAAAGACAATCCTATTCGTGGCACCTGCTCTCAAATCTGCAGGAACACCAAGGGAAGCTACAAGTGTGAATGTGTTAACAATTATTCACTGGTCAACAGGAGATACTGCAAAGCTGACGGTAAGTCTTTGGCGCAAGACATCAAATATATCACCTGGAAATAGGTTAAGCAGTCCCAGCTGTTATGGCGATGAAGTTTGAAAACGTTAATACGACTTAAGCGTGGAGCTCCAGTGTGCCCCGGGCAGCTGTGGCTGGTAGGGTGTTGCTAAAATGACTGTATTGGCCACAACACGGCTTCCTATGATGAAACTGTATAGCTGCCACATGAGTGGATGTATTCCTGTCGCGTGGATATATTCCTGTGGAGTGGATGTATTCTTGTGCTGTGGATATATTCCTGTGGTGTGGATGTGTTCCTGTGGCGTGGATGTATACCTGTGGTGTGGATGTATTCCTGTGGTGTGCATATATTCCTGTAGAGTGGATGTCTGTAGTGTGGATGTATTCCTGTGGTGTGGATGTATACCAATGGCGTGGATGTATTCCTGTGGTGTGGATGTATGCCTGTGGTGTGGGTGTATACCTATAGTGTGGATGTATTCCTGTGGCATGGATGTATTCCTGTGGTGTGGATGTATTCCTGTGGCGTGCATGTATACCTGTGGTGTGGATGTATACCTGTGGTGTGGATGGATACTTGTGGAGTGGATGTATACCTGTAGTGTGGATGTATACCTGTGGTGTGGATGTATTCCTGTGGTGTGGATGTACTCCAGTGTCGTGTTGAATGTATACCTGTGGTGTGGATGTATTCCTGTGGTGTGGATGTAATCCTGTGGTGTGGATGTATTTCTGTTGTGTGGATGTATTCCTGAGGTGTGGATGTATTCCTGTGGGATGGATGTATTCCTGTGTGGTGGATGTATTCCTGTGGTGTGTGCGTGTGGTGTTCTGCTGTCGTCTGGATGTATTCCTGTGGCGTGGATTCAATCCTGTGGTAGTTGTGAATGTGTTCCTATAGTGTGGATGTATTCCTGTGGCGTGCATGCAATCCTGTGGTAGAGGTGAATGTATTCCTATGGTGTGGATGTATTCATGTTGTGTGGATGCAACCCTGTGGTAGTTGTGAATGTATTGCTATGGTATGGATGTATTCCTATGGTGTGGATGCAATCCTGTGGTAGAGGTGAATGTATTCCTATGGTGTGGATGTATTCTTTGGTGTGGATGCAATCCTGTTGTAGAGTTGAATGTATTCCTATGGTATGGATGTATTCCTATGGTGTGGATGCAATCCTGTGGTAGTGTTGAATGTATTGCTATTGTGTGGATGTATTCCTGTGGCGTGGAGTGCCATCCTGTGGTAGAGTCAGAATGTATTGCTATGGTATGGATGTATTCCTGTGTGTGGATGCAATCCTGTGGCAGTGTTGAATGTATTCCTATCGTGTGGATGTATTCCTGTGGCATGGATGCAATCCTGTGGTAGAGGTGAATGTATTCCTATGGTGTGGATGTATTCATGTGGTGTGGATTGCAACCCTGTGGTAGTTGTTGTTAATGTATTCCTGTGGTATGGATGTATTCCTGTGGCGTGGATGCAATCTTGTGGTATTGGTAATTGTATTCTTGTGGTATGAATGTATTCCTGTGGTGTGGATGCATTCCTTGTGGTAGTGGTGAATGTATTCCTGCGGTGTGGATGTATTCCTGTGGTGTGGATGTATGCCTGTGGTAGAGTTGAATGTATTGCTATGGTGTTGATGTATTTCTGTTGCGTGGATGTATTACTGTGGTGTTGATGTATTCCTGTGGGGTGAATGTATTCCTGTGGTGTGGATGCATTCCTGTTGTGTGAATGCAATCCTGTGGTATTTGTGAAAGTATCCCTTTGGTGTGGATGTATTCCTGTGGCGTGGGTGCCATCCTATGGTAGAGGTGAATGTATTCCTATGGTATGGATGTATTCCTGTGGCGTGGATGCCAGCCTGTGGTAGAATTGAATGTATTGCTATGGTGTGGATGTATTCCTGTGGTGTGGATGCAATCCTGTGGTAGTTGTGAATGTATCCCTATGGTGTGGATGTATTCCTGTGGTGTGGATGTAATCCTGTTGTAGAGTTGAATGTATTGCTATGGTGTGGATGTATTCCTGTGGTGTGGATGCAATCCTGTGGTAGTGTTGAATGTATTGCTATGGTGTGGATGTATTCCTGTGGTGTGGATGTAATCCTGTTGTAGAGTTGAATGTATTGCTTTGGTGTGGATGTATTCCTGTGGTGTGGATGTAATCCTGTGGTAGTTGTGAATGTATCCCTATGGTGTGGATGTATTCCTGTGGTGTGGATGCAATCCTGTGGTAGTTGTGATTGTATCCCTATGGTGTGGATGTATTCCTGTGGTGTGGATGCAATCCTGTGGTAGTTGTGAATGTATTCCTATGGTGTGGATGTATTCCTGTGGTGTGGATGCAATCCTGTGGTAGTTGTGAATGTATCCCTATGGTGTGGATGTATTCCTGGATGTATTCCTTGGTGTGGATGCAATCCTGTGGTAGAGGTGAATGTATTGCTATGGTGTGGATGTATTCCTGTGATGTGGATGCCATCGTGTGGTAGTTGTGAATGTATTGCTATGGTGTGGATGTATTCCTGTGATGTGGATGCCATGGTGTGTGGTAGTTGTGAATGTATTCCTATGGTGTGGATGTATTCCTGTGGTGTGGATGCAATCCTGTGGTAGTTGTGAATGTATCCCTATGGTGTGGATGTATTCCTGTGGTGTGGATGCAATCCTGTGGTAGTTGTGAATGTATTGCTATGGTGTGGATGTATTCCTGTGGTGTGGATGCAATCCTGTGGTAGAGGTGAATGTATTCCTATGGTGTGGATGTATTCCTGTGGTGTGGATGCAATCCTGTTGTAGGTGAATGTATTGCTATGGTGTGGATGTATTCCTGTGGTGTGGATGCAATCCTGTGGTAGTGTTGAATGTATTGCTATTGTGTGGATGTATTCCTGTGGTGTGGATGCAATCCTGTGGTAGTTGTGAATGTATCCCTATGGTGTGGATGTATTCCTGTGGTGTGGGTGCCATCCTGTGGTAGTTGTGAATGTATTCCTATGGTGTGGATGTATTCCTGTTGTGTGGATGCAATCCTGTGGTAGTTGTGAATGTATTCCTATGGTGTGGATGTATTCCTGTGGTGTGGATGCAATCCTGTGGTAGAGGTGAATGTATTCCTATGGTGTGGATGTATTCCTGTGGGTGTGGATGCAATCCTGTGGTGAATGTGAATGAATTCCTATGGTGTGGATGTATTCCTGTGGTGTGGATGCAATCCTGTGGTAGTGGTGAATGTATTGCTATGGTGTGGATGTATTCCTGTGGTGTGGATGCAATCCTGTGGTATTTGTGAATGTATCTATGGTGTGGATGGTGTGGATGTATTCCTGTGGTAGAGGTGCCATCCTGTGGTAGAGGTGAATGTATTCCTATGGTGTGGATGTATTCCTGTGGCGTGGATGCCAGCCTGTGGTAGAGTTGAATGTATCCCTATGGTGTGGATGTATTCCTGTTGTGTCGATGCAATCCTGTGGTAGTTGTGAATATATCCTTATGGTGTGGATGTATTCCTTTGGTGTTGATGCAATCCTGTTGTAGAGTTGAATGTATTGCTATGGTGTGGATGTATTCCTGTGGTTTGGATGCAATCCTGTGGTAGTGGTGTATGTATTCCTGTGGCATGGATGCATTCCGGTTGTGCAGGTGTATTCTGTGTTGTATATCGGTGAAATGATTTCACCAGAAGCTCTTGAATAGATACTGGTGAGCCGACTTCTTGTAACCCGCCGAAACGCGTCCGTCCGTGCGCTCGTTCGTGCAAGTTCGTCTTTTCCAGAGGTGAACATAAACAAACGTTGACTATTTCTTCACCAAACTTGGTAAATAGATAGGTCTCGTGGTGAACTGGTGCCTTTTGGTAGATTTGGATATGTGAATGAAATACATTTTATCGTTTCCATGGCAACAAGTTTGACTTTGACTGAAATTGGTGGTAGTGCTCTTTGCCTGAACTTTAAACCTTTCAATACACTCCTTCCACTTTGTGGGTATTCATGACTGACTGACTGAGTTTGGTTTTACGCCGCTTTTAGCAATATTCCAGCTACATCACGGCGGGGGAACACCAGAAATGGGCTTCACACATTGTACCCATGTGGGGATTCGAACCCGGGTATTCATGAACCTAGTGACATAAATCAACAGTACCATTTTATTTCCAGTATCAACATTAAACTGTGGAAGAACTCAGACAGTCTGTTGTTGATACAAGTATACAGTATATGAATAGTTTACATATGTATGTAGCATTTGTCATTGTTGACATCTTCTCATGACATATACTCATAGAGAGTATTTCCCCATTGCGGGGGATATTAATGACTTTGACTTCTTGTTATTTTGGTGAAGTGGAATCGATTGAAGTGTATGTGTGCAGTCACTACTGGAAACATATTACGCTTGAAGAGCAAATATATGGTCAATTAGCTGTCAGTGCAAGCATTTGTTATTGTTGACATAGCAGATTATGGCTCACATCTGTCAAAATAAAACATAACAACAATGCATTTCTGTCATTTTGTAGGATGTCAGCTGATCTGATTATTTTGTGTACGTCTGACTTTTGGACACAATCATAATTTAACCGAAATATGTGTACTGATCTCATTTTTACATAGGCAGCCACTCAGAGCTTCTGCTGGCAGCCAGAAGAGATCTTCGTAGAATCAACCTTGAAACTTTGGTACCTAGCGTGCTCCTTGGTGCTCCACATGTATCATCTGCTGTTGCCTTGGATTTCGACTTTCTTGAAAATAAATTGTACTGGACAGATGTAGCTAAAGAGGCTATTTTTAGGTGAGTTTGCTATTGTAGCCCAGTAAGAGTGAGGACATTGATTGTCATAAAAAGCAAAGGATTTGCATGAGTGGTGTTTCAATTGAAAATATTTTCATAGACCACCTACGATAATTCAGATCATATGTATTCATGCGTGTCGTGTACAATGACAGACATCAAAATTAACTTCACGTATAAAAATACATTTCATTATAATCAAAGCTAACATGGATATTACCAGCTCAGGTTGGTGCTTCTTAGAATACTCAATATGGAATGACAAATTCTCCAGAGCTGACTTTGACAACAAGTCATCGGCGGAACAGGTGGCATCAAGATAATTCAGATCATATGTATTCATGTGTGCTATGTACAATGTCATACATTAAAATTAACTTCACGTATAAACATACATTTCATAATAATCAAAGTTAAAATGGAGATTACAAGTTCAAGTTGGCGCCTTTTAGAATGCTCAACCATGAAATAACGTTTTCTCCAGAGCTGACTTTGACAACAAGCCATCGGTTGAAGAGGTATCATCAACAGATGTCAGGACTCCTGATGGTCTTGCAGTAGACTGGATCAACAAGCACCTCTACTGGACTGACACTGGCTTTGACAGGATTGAAGTTTCCTCGTTGGATGGCAAAATGAGGAAGACGCTTATTAACACAGGATTAGATGAACCAAGAGCCATAGTACTGGATCCCAACCATGGGTAAATCAGGCTTCTGTAATGAGACAGTGAACAATGGTTCCATTCTTACATTTGGCTACTAATGGCATAACCAGTACAACATGAAAACTGTTTGACTGATGAGAGATGTAGCATGATTCATCTGGGGACCAAAAAAATCCACACCATTAGAGAAAATCATAATAAGAACCATTAAACCTTTTTTGATATTCTTTGAAATTGGCTCGTGGAAAATTACTGAAGTATACTCTATACGGGGGAACTAATTAATAAATCTGAAATCAGAAAATATTGAACATTATCTAAATGGTTCTAAATTGACCGATATTTCTGAGGAGACATTCTGAGTCCTGTTCATTACTTGCAGCCTTGTGTATTGGACTGACTGGGGTAAACAGCCTAAGATTGAACGATGTGGAATGGATGGCAATGACAGGAAAGTGATTGTCAACACAACCATCGCCTGGCCTAATGGACTTACTATTGGTTGGTATCAAAATGGACGTATTCCATAGAAAGTATATCTGATTGTTGACTTCACCATCGCCTTACTAGGTTAGCTTCGAATACGTTGTATTTGTAATCAAATGATTTTTATCCCTTTTTCTATTTTGTATGTCCATTGCATCGAGTATGTTCCGTCTGTCAATGATATTATTGATTTTAGTTGGATGTAAACCTGTTTTCTATTGAGCGATATATAAGTGAAAGTATTTCAGTTAAAGGTATACTGCTTACAGCTTTCTGAATGGAGCACTGTCCTTTCAGATTATGTTGCCAACAGACTGTATTGGGTTGACTCGAAGCTTCACACAATTGAGAGCTCAAACATGTTGGGACTGGAACGTGTCTCCGTTCTTAAGAGTGTCCTTCACCTCCACAATCCTTTTGCCATTACTGTATTCGAGGTGAGTGTGGAACGTGTGTCTTTTCTTCAGAGTGTCCTTCACCTCCACAATCCTTTTGCCATCACTGTAGTCGAAGTGACTCGTGCAGGATTGCTATGTTCAAGAGTTTGTAAATAACGCTGTTGAGGAACAAAACTTTGGCCATGTGTGTTGTTGTGTTTAAATGTTTTCCAAACTGTTACTTATTAATACTTTGCTTTCTATCTAAGGATTTTCTTTACTGGACTGACTGGTACTCTAAATCCGTTAAGAAATACAGCAAGTTCGGAAGACGTAGTGACGAGGAAGTGGAAACAATTGCCAGTAATCTTCCTTCACCCATGGGTTTACGTGTATTCCATCCCAACAGACAACAAATACTAAGAAGTAAGAAGATACTAAACTTCAAAGCAGTTGTACAAATCAACGTGTAATATCACAGTATCACTCCTAAAAAATTTTCTGTTTCTGAAGTCTAGTCATTTAATGTAGTTACATTTTTACAAGCTGACATTTTTAAGTGATTTCACGGCAAATATTTTAATATGACAACACGATCAGAAGGTTAAGTGTACTTTATGTACTCGTGCTCTGTTGTTTAACAAACTAATGTCTTCTGCTGATAGGGTTGTGTGGTGATAACAATGGCGGCTGTTCCCACTTCTGTCTGCCAAAAGTTTATGATCCCAGCAACAGTGAACTCTTTGTCTGTGACTGTCCCAGTGAACTCATCTTGTCGTCAGATAAGAAGACTTGTGTTGAAGGAGGTACGTTCATATCAAAGTGCGTTCTAGTAACCTGGTCGGTTTCACTTTCTGAATGTTTAAGTGACACAAAGGAAAGGTTTCACAGAGCATGAACATCATTTTGAATTTATTACTATGGTTTGTTTATATTTGATGTTGATCTTACATATTTTCTTTCCATCGCTTTATTATATCTTTGTATGTCTTAACATGCAACCATTAGGTTTGTTTCTCTTTTCATATATACCTACGTTCATTTCAAGTTTCATATCATCCTTACGTATGCTCATGTCAAAGCTATGACGTTCTAGTTACCTCGTTGGTTTCACTTTCTGAATGTTTGAGTGACACAAAGGAAAGGTTTCACAGAGCATGAACATCATATATCTTAATCATTGTTTGTTTATATTTGAATGTAAAACTTCACGTTGATCTTACCTATTTTCTTTTCACCCCTTATTATATATGTGTATGTCTTAGCATGCAACCATTTGCTTTGTTTCTCTTTTCAGATATACCTACGTTCATTTTAAGTTATCATATCCTTTGCCTTTTAGAATTTCATCACATCATGCTTCCCCCATCCTAAATTACTTTCTTTGTTTCACTGACTGTTCATAATACATTCTTCGTGTATTGTAGTGTTTATGTACATGTGTTTCATATCCCATGCTTTTTTATGACTTTACTTTAATGAATCATTTTCTAATTACAGCTAATTAGACCTTGACAACAAACAATGTAACATGTTGTTACGATGAACGGATGAGAACATACACGGTGTTTCAAAACTGGCGTCGAAAATAGCCGCTTTCATTTGAATGGTTGGTTGGTTGTTGGTTGGTGGGTTTGGGTTGGTGGGTTGGTGGGTTGGTTGGTGCACTCAGTAATATATGCATTTATAAACACAACAGTATTCGCCCATAAAGCGAGGTGTATGAAGAGCCGTACTAAAGAAGGTACGTTATGTAAGTGAGTGAGTGAGTTTAGTTTTACGCCGCACTCAGCAATATTCCAGCTACATGGCGGAGGTCCATAAATAATCGAGTCTGGACCAGACAATCCAGTGATTGACATCATAAGCATCGATCTACGCAATTGGGATATGATGACATACATCAACCAAGGAAAACTAGGTTATCTGGATAGTCAACTTCTTTATTGCAATGAGTGCGACGTTTCGGTGTAGGTACTAACACCGTTATCAAGCAAGTGATAACTTGATAAGCAAGTGATAACTTCGGTGTTAGTACCTACACCGAAACGTCGCACTCATTGCAATAAAGAAGTTGACTATCCAGAGAACTTCGTTTTCCTGCATCTTCAAAACTTCTAAAATGCCTCTCAAAGAACTTACATCAACCAAGTCAGCGAGCCTAGCCACCCGATCCCGTTAGTCGTCTCTTACGACAAGCATGGGTTGCTGAAACCCAGTTCTAATCCGGATCTTCTCGGGTGCTGTCATCTGTAACCAATTTTACGTCAATACGAAATTTCGCGAGGCTTGACTGACTGACTGACTGTGTTTGGTTTTACGCAGCTTTTAGCAATATTCCAGCAACATCACGGCGGGGAACACCAGAAATGGGCTTCACACATTGTACCCATGTGGGGATTCGAACCCGGGTCTTCAGCGTGACGAGCCAACGCTTTAACCACAAGGCTACCCCACCGCCCTCGCGAGGTTTGAAGCCATACATAAAGTAATACATTTTTCTGTAACAATGTACGTGATAATATGTGAAGCTTTTTTGCGAACACCTTGTGTTATTGGTGAGTTTTAGCATAATTACAACCAGTATGAATTCATGTGGGGATCCGAGAATTGCAAACGTGTGCCAGAATATACAAGAATAATCCCAGAATACTAGACATTGCACAAGAACGTGCAATAGTACTCGGGTGCATTCAAGGGAATGAGTGTATGCGAATATTTGCGGTGAATGCTCTTATACACTACGAGACATGGGATTTGAGGAGATCAGTCAGTAGTGAGCTTTGGGGAGTTGGGAGTACAGGTGGAATGGTCTGCTAAACAACTACTGACTTCATCCTCATCGTGTCCGTAATTGTTCCAGCTGAATAGTCTTGTACATCAGTACAGGTTAGCCTGATGTGGGGGTTTAACGAGACGGAAGTAAATAGCCGGATGTACGGAGTTTAAGAGCCCCAAATTAGGAGCTGAGTGTACTAAATTTTCGAAGTGAAGTTGGTAACACACTTTAAGGGAGTTAACAAGGTGACATTAGTAGCTAGTGTAGGGGGTTTTAAGTGCTGCTGACACACGTAAAAGAACGCATAATAATGCCAAGAATGTCCAAGAAGAGGGTACACAAAGTGTTCATGTGCGAGAACACGGAATATACATCTGCGTTGGGCAGAGTTAAATATTTTTTACAGGTACGAGGGGCGTTCGTTAAAGATTTAATGAACGCCCCTCGTATACTATCAGGTAGTAAGTTTTTAGTTATAACGGTTATAATTGGGTCTATTCACTGGCTTAAGCAAGACACTTTTCTGAAATATCATATTATGAATATCAATTTAAATTGATTACTGGTCAGTTTATATCGGCATGTCAGGTGGTTCGTTGCTATCTGTAACTTCACTGTGACATAGGACTCAAATTGTTTTCACGTGAAAATTGATTCAGAAATTCAACCTGACCACCACTGTTATCCAACATGAACAGCATGTTTTGCGCAATGTTCAGCAAGATTGATATCCAAGTGTAATTATGTGTCTATGTCTACCCCTTATATTTGCTAAAGAGGAAAAAACGTAGATTGTGGTTAATAATTATTATTATTTGCAATGTAATATTGTCAAGACAGAAAGGAACTGCCTTACTGAATTTCAAGCTACTCCGTAAATGGTTTCCAGTTATCCCTTTTGGCACATTTCAGAAACGCAGCAGGGATTCCTCCTTTAGGGGTTACAGCTGCGGTATAAGATCGACACAGCTGCAGATCGACACATCAGATCGACACATCACATCAGATCGACACATCAGATCAAAACATCAGGTTGACTCATCAGATCGACACATCAGGTCAAAACATCAGGTTGACTCATCAGATCGACGCATCACGTCAAAACATCAGATCGACACATCAGGTTGACTCATCAGATCGACACATCAGGTCAAAACATCAGATCGACACATCAGGTCGACTCATCAGATCGACACATCAGGTCAAAACAGCAGGTCGACACGTCAGATCGACACATCGGGTCAGCACATCAGATCACATCAGATCGACATATAATAACTAGTTTGTACCTTACCTCGGTGCCGAAATATAATTACTTTTACATAGATAGGATTTCCATACAATTCCTAAGCTAACATCATCAATATCGAGCTGTGGTCGTGCCCTTCGCCAGACATGTCGGGAAGATGTTGATAGACGTCAGTGTGGCTACAACATACTTGTCATTTTAGCACTCAAGTCCAGAGGTACCATGTGAACCATGAGTTACTGTGAACATCCAGACGGCGGGAATCAAACACATGCCATCATAGGTAATGGTGTGACGATTCATTGATATGCATCGATGCATCGATCCATGGTCCGCAGATACAGTGAATCGATACAAAGTTTTACATTGTCGTGTATCCCGATACGATACTTCAAATGGGCCACGATACATCGATGTTTAACTTTGAATATTGCCGAATCGCGATATCTGTCAAGAAAAAAGACTTACTTTTGTTTGATTATTAAAATATAGGCTTACTTATTTTCCCTTCATAAGTAAACGTTTACGCGGAAATTCTTGCGTCAAAGAACTGTGTCAGACATAGCGCTCGCATGTTATTAACATTCACAAAGTCCGTGTATAAACTTAATTATCTCGTTTCCGAATGAACATTGAGCAACGCTGACGGAATTTGACGAAATTCTTTTAAATGGTTTTGGTGATCTTAAGGTGTTTTATAGATTAAAGATTAAAGATTTTAGTATCGTGATACGTATCGTATCGCCACCATTGTATCGGGATTCGTATCGTATCGCAGCTTAAGTGCACAATACTTTAGTAATATGTCGTCGTGACTAAAATTTAAGTATCGTGATGTATCGTATGGCAAGTTGTATACCAATATCAGCACTACTCATAGGTCTTAACATGTGTTTGACCTACCAGAAAAATGAATAAAATGCATCTGTTGTCAAATGTTTTCAAGTATTTGTTGTTTATTTCGCGTATAATTTAGCCCATGGCGACATCTAGTCCCCAGCCACCATTTCTGCCGAAAGGGGCAACCAAATGGATCGCGTGGTTGGGTGACTTGGTTGATTCCAATGGCGTGGAACGCTGCATGTTATCGATCACTGGATTCAAATACTTACAGGCTGTTGCCACATAGCCGGAATATTGCTGAGTGCGGGGTAAAACAACATACATATCAGGGAGGGAATACAGTAAAGTATGGTTATAACGAACACAAAGTGTCAACTTATTTTAGTTCGTTTTAACCGTTGTTCGTTTTTCTCAAATATACTAGTGACTGGGACAAAAACAACCAATTCGTTTTGTCCATCCGTTCGTTATAAGAGAGTTCGTTACAAACGGGTTTTATTGTAATGATCCTTACACTCCTTACACACTGGGTCTCAGTCCTAGCTCCCTGTGTGGTCGGGTGTCGAACTCTGTCTGTCTCGACATGCCTGACCGACACTGTGCACTGCTTCCGGGCTTCCATTTACTGCAGACCGCCTCCGTGGTGTAGTGGTTAGAGCGTCCGCCCGGAGAGCGGAAGGGCGCTGGTTCGATCCCGGACCGCGTCATACCAAAAGACGTTAAAATATGGTACTTGTTGGTCCCTGCCTGGCACTCGGCATTAATGGGTACAACAAGGACTGGTCGGCTCGGAGTCAGTATAATGTGTCTGAGTGGGGTATTCATGCTTCACTGCGGCATGGTATCTCAGTGGGCTAGCACTATAAAACCAGCTTCAGTCTGGGCTAATACAAGCAGCCGCACATACACATACACACGCATGCACGTCGTCATATGAGCGAAATATTCTCCAGCGTGACATTAAACCCAATTTCACATCACCTCACCAATACGTGATCGGTAGGGTTATATATCCTACATTTCCAAAAGCACACTCCATGTGATTCTTTAAATCACCAGTTTCCAAATGCCCTCCCCACCTTTACATACTGTTCCTAGGACTCATGTTGGCGGAGCTCGAGATCAAAAGACAGTTTTAGCAGGTTTGGGGTGTTTGTTTCTTCTTTTTCGGTTTTTTTTTCGTTTGTTTGTTTTCGTGTGGATGTGGAGAGTATATTTTAGGGACGCTTCATTTGCAGTAAGCACATACCTTCAGAATACGAGCGCGGACGTCATGCTGCTTAAGTCTGCTTTTTCAACGAGTAAGGAAGACATATATTGTTACCGGTGAAAAATGCTTTTATTATTCTCAGCGTAAATGTGTAAATATCGACATATCATTGTGAACAGTTAAAGGGAGGTAACTCGTGTGACCTTACACGTTCGTCACACGTATAGTATTTTTCTTTCCGGTGTGATATTCCTTCACTAAGCAATTGTCCACCAAATTGACGATTGTAAACAAGATCTTTCGACCAGACAGTCAAGTGATCGACATCACGAGGGTCACCAAGGCAAATGTTTTTGTAGATTCGAATCCAAACCGTCGATCTTAGTAATATACCTTCTACCAGTAACACGCATACATTAAGTATTCATTTTACGTAATTCGGGATGAAGCGGAAATCATCATAAACTATGGATCCATGTTGATAAGTAACATCCATTATATGGTTTAATTTGTCTCCTTTCTTTTGACTCATTCCTTAATAGCTTGAACCTGTGGATTTCAATGGGTGTACGACTATATGCTCTTCCTCACTGACGAGCGTATCACGGACAGACAGAAAGTCAGATTATCTGGTCTGAAGTTATGTTGATATGATATTGCAATGTGTATTTGGCTGCACACTTCACTTGCACCCTCAACGATTCTATCACCACGCACACCCACTCAGTCAGAGGCGTCTCTAGGGTGGCTGAGTGCAGTCGAGGGGTAATGGCTGCCGGTGGACTGAGATCGGGGTACCGGTGTGTGTCGTCCTTGTGCCCCGCTCATTCATACCCCTGTCGCTGTCAACAGGCTGAGCAGGTCAACAGACAGTGAATCAAGTTTTGTCTGCATACTTGAAACATGACGCGACGTGCCTCTGGATGAGCGAGTTTGCCTCAGATTGTATGAAGGGGTACAGGCAGTAGAGCTCGCCGACAGCACGCATGTTGCACACATGTTAGAGCGGGCACCTGTTTGAGGGCTTGTTGACATTCGGGTATCACTGCATGCTTGATCGGATGTCTGCTTGTAAAGACAGTTGCACTAAGGCTAGATAACATCACGCTCATTGCCACCTGTGTGATCGGACACCTTTATTAAAGCTCGTGACATCCAGTTTTACCGCTAGTTAGATCGGACACCTGTATTAAACCTCGTGACATCCAATTTTACCGCTAGTTAGATCGGACACCTGTATTAAAGCTCGTGACATCACGTTTTACCGCTAGTTAGATCAGACACCTGTATTACAGCTCGTGACATCCAGTTTTACCGTTGGTTAGATCGGACACCTGTATTAAAGCCCGTGACATCCAGTTTTACCGCTAGTTAGATCGGACATCTTTATTAAACCTTGTGACATCCATCCAGTTTTACCGTTAGATCGGACATCTTTATTAAACCTTGTGACATCCAGTTTTACCGCTAGTTAGATAGGACACCTGTATTAAACCTTGTGACATCCAGTTTTACCGCTAGTTAGATAGGACACCTGTATTAAAGCTCGTGACATCACGTTTTACCGCTAGTTAGATCGGACACCTGTATTAAAGCTAGTGACATCACGTTTTACCGCTAGTTAGATCGGACACCTGTATTAAAGCTCGTGACATCACGTTTTACCGTTAGTTAGTTCAGTTCCCCACATGGTTACAGTTTGTTAAGCCCATATTATTGCTACGGCAAGCGTGTGTTGAAGTCCAATTCTTAACCGGATCTTACTGGTGTTGAGGAAGGTGTGAGAGGGATAGGGTGTATGTTTTATAGAGTACATGCTCTATGTTTTATAAAGTACATACTATAGAACTAGATTCACTGACGTAATTGTCACTAAGACTGTTTTCTTGTTTGTTTGCATGTCAACTCCCCAATCTCGCTTTACAATAACACGCACTTGCCGTCAGGCTTGACTGGTTCTGCGCAAGTGCGTCGGAGATGGCACGTTGCCACAACCGATCGCTTGGCATCGACATTAGACGGACGACTAATCACAATAACTGGTGACTGCAAATCTCAAAGGGGAAGTATCTGCACGTTGTTTACAACTAATCCCATGTTGGTGAAACAATTCAGGCTTCAGAACTGATTGTTTGTAAACTGTTCATGTGTACGAACAGTCATTGACTGAATCGATCTAGTGAATGGCATGACGTCAAGACGGACGTAAGTCTTTGTGTGCGAAGGTTGTATATCTCGACTGACACATAATGTACTCATAACAATAAACACACATATAGCACACACATTTTAACCAAAGCAAACCGCAAATATCAAATAACAAAACTTTTTACTGCCACTCACACTGTTCTACTTTTCCTTATATTCCTGGGGGCACGTCGTCTAAGGCAAACAGTGTTGCGCAGAGTTGCGTCCCTTGAGCACGCTAGGAACCTATGATCCTGGGATCGAACCCAGGTTGTCCATGATTATGTTTCTAGGTTTGTTGTCCTCGGGTTACACTAAAGTGATAAAGGTCTGAGATCTGCATCAATTAAGGCGTTCCACGCTATGACAGAACTGGCACACTGCGGTGTGCTATCTTAGCATCTATTATTCACTATTTCTATCACTTACGGAAAGCCGTTTCTTGTCGTTGTTGTTCTTTGTATTGATGGGTTTGTGTTCTTTTTTGTGTGTATATTTTATCTATTTAAATAATATTTTTTGTTTATTATAAACACAAGCCATCATCTCAGTATTTACAATATCTGTCTAACGCGAGTAAACTGCCGTCCGAAAACATGCGACGCCCGAAAACCGTAATGTTACATCACCGGGTTCTTTTTTAATAAACGTTGTCCCTGCTGACGAGGCACACGTTTGTACACACTCTCTCAAGTTGAGGAATGAGGTACCTTCTTGCTGTCAGGGAGTGACATGGTACGACAAATCACAGATAAAATCAAATGTATACTTCCAAATCGACATACCATACCACAAGAGACGTGGTAAATTTGACAGAGCATTTGTATCGTGATTTATGTTCTAAAGAAAGTGTGAACCATGTTATCATATTGTTTATTGTTGTCGACCTGTGATTCGTACAACTTTGGTACTTGTGACGTATGTGACAGGTCTGTGACACCTTGACAACTATTGAAGCCTGAATCTTCAGCCGGTGTGACACCCTCTCAAAACGGATGGCACCCTCCTTTAAATTGACACACACGTTCGTAGACGTAAACATGTCGATTGGGGTGAAATTTCAATATCTCAATTACTTCTGTGTTTGGACAGACATCGCAAAGGTTATCGAAAGCAAGACTCATTCTGAGCCTGTAACATGATTCGCTTCGTTTGTGTCCAACTGTTCCGTGACTACTTTTCAACTTTTCCAGTTTACAAAAACAGTAGCACTCCTATAAACCGGACAATATCTTATTGTAAAAGTCGTCCGGATTAACAAGTGTCGCTAGTAATCATGTATAGTATCGAATTATGCACCTGTGCATTTATATAGGCATTACCAACAGTATTCGCCTATAAAGCGATGTGTCCGTATTATAAGGATTTCTTATATAAGAATAAGAAAATGGAGAAGAAAATAATATTTGTATCATAAAGCTAAATAATCCTAGTGCTGATTTGAGTAGATAAGAGCGACGAAAATATTTCCGTAATCATCGAAATATTACACGGAAAACATTGTCCATTGTACAACGAATCTGACTACAACAACAGCTTGTGTTTAGAAATCACTATCAACTTGTAGTAATACCAGATGTTCTTTGAAAACGTGAACGTATCCTGCCCCATCGGTGACATCCGTCCTAAACAGACGCAAGGTTCGTCCACCTGTACGACTTCGAGAACGTCAAAATAGAGAATTGCATCGGACATCATCTTGGTCACTGGTGCGTCAGATGAGGAATTGTCCACCATATGCCTGCCAAGGGGATGTGAATGTTTAAATTTTCGTAAACAGGGCATGCTCGATTGCACTTCAAAAGGTTGTGAAAAAAAATTACCAAAAGCCTGGAGCTGTTGTTGGAGAGTTGAAGTCATACTTTCTGTCCTATTTTGGTTGTTTGGAATCTTTATGTATAGATCTGCATATGAAACAAATGAGGCAGTTTCGCCTGTATGGTGTTTCAGGTGAACCAGTGTAAGGGACTTGGCTATGTATCAATCATTGAACGATATCAGACCGTCGATAAACCTGAAGCTCAGTTTAACGCCTCTGTCGAGCCCCTCTTGTTTTGATTTTTGCTAATATGAGCAGAACTTGTTGTGTAAATATATAAAGAAACTACTTATCGAGCAGAAGTTCCACAATTGGTGTGCGTGCGGGCGGGCGGGCGTGCGTGTGTGTGTGTGTCCTAGTGGTTAAAGCGTTGGCTTGTCACGCCAAAGACCCGGGTTCGATTCCCCACATGGGTACAATGTGTGAAGCCCATTGCAGATGTCCCCCGCCGTGATGTTGCTAAAAGCGGCGAAAAACCCAACTCACTCACTCACTTCCACAATTGGTGTCAAAGGGATGCCTATCTCTTATATGAACGACTCTTCCCCAATTATCACATTAGTCGTTTCTAAAAGAAATTAAGGCCTTCCGATATTTAGGCCCTGGAGAGATGAAAGATGTTCCAAAGTTACTGATGTGATGTCCTCAGTGGATAGGGGCGGTGGGGTAGCCTAGTGGTTAAAGCGTTCGCTCATCACGCCGAAGACCCGGGTTCGATTCCCCAGATGGGTACAATATGTGAAGCCCATTTCTGGTGTCCCTCGCCGTGATATTGCTGGAATATTGCTTAAAGCGGCGTAAAACTCAGTCAGTCCTCAGTGGATATGTATGACGTGTCTATGAACTCTGCATATGCACTGTGGAACGTATTTGGAAATGCAATGTCGCGGACACTCTCGGAAATATGACAGATAACAAGCGAATATAAGTTACAGATATATTAGATCTGTAAAGTTAATAGTGAAAAACATATCATATTTTCTTTTGAAACACAATGTCGCGGGCACTCTAGAATATAGTGAGTGAGTGAGTGAGTTTATGTTTACGCCGATTTTTGCAATATCACGGCGGGGGACACCGTAAATGGGATTCACACATTGTACCCATGTGGGGAATCGAACCCGGGTCTTCGGCGTGATGAGCCAACGCTTTTACCACTAGGCTACTCCATCGCCCCTCTAGATAATATATCCACAAAGCATACTTCGAGACAACCAGGTTCGTTATTTCAAACCATATAACTAATAATTAGTCATTAACAGTTATGTACCGTATTATGCGGTATGTAAAGTTAATGGTGGAAAACATATCGAAATAACTGTAATTCGAGACAAGCGTGGTCTCGAAATCAGAATATATGGGAACAATAATTAATCGATTTGTGGTTACGTTGTACTGTAGGCTGAGGTCAAGCCAGTTATCTCCCTTGTCAGTGGTAGACGTGTCCCTGACCTTAGATTACCTCAATGCGTTATAGGCGCGGTAAGCCAGGCTGGGTTAATGTAACCCGGTCTTATCCCTTATTAACCCAGGAGGTTGGTGTAACCTATGTGCGCCATCACTAATCCCTGACCACTACTATTTGGCAACGTGCTCTCCCGCGGCCTGGTTGTTGACATCACGTAAGTCCGCTCGGAATGTGGCGTAAACAAATATGGCCTCCAGAAAACGGTATTCCAAATTTGGACATAAACAACCAAGAGTTTAAAAAACTTCAAAGTGTTTGAGGAATTCACTGAACTGGGCAATGTGTATTTGCAGCAATATCTTATTTCATATTGACCTAATCTTATTTATCGATTAACAATTGTTGTTTTTGGTTTGTGTGGGTGTTTTTTTATATTATTGTTGGGTATCTTTTGTTTTAGTGTGTGTGTGTGTGTGTGTGTGTGAGAGAGAGAGAGAGAGAGAGAGAGAGAGAGAGAGAGAGAGAGAGAGAGAGAGAAAAACTGTCTAAACATGTATTTAAATTTACTTGTCCAGTGGGATATTGATGTTGTCTTATCAGCCTTTGGTGTACGTATTCTGACCTCCTCTTGAAGATAGGATGCATATTTCGCACAGAAAATGTCCTGGTAAAGATGTTATCTTTTTTCAAACGTCATACTAGTTTTACCTCTGAGACCAAGTGGGGTATAACTATGAGGCATCTATTTATTAAATTAAGCTGAAAAAATATTGATTACATGTAATATACTATGAATTTGTACGATTCTCGAATCCTGTTGGTCAATCAAAAGTATCAAATGACAATAAAAACCTACAGTTGCAACATATATCTGCATCGCAGTTTCCTAACCCTTTACCCGCGTAAAAGAGTTTAAAATATAATACATCTGAAAGAAAATATAATGTTCTTAATATTGTGTACTATTCGTTATGTTTTGTTGATCTAAGACACTAACTTAAATGAAAGGTTTGTCGAGAAATATACCCAAAATATATAGTTTCATTTCAGTTGTGAGAAAAATGATTGGCCTGTAGGCGAAAATACCCAAACGCCAAAACGTTGGGATTTGATAATAAAAATGGAAAGAATCTTTACCTACCGACCTTCTTGAGATGGTACAAGGTGAGTGAGTGAGTTTTACGCCGCTTTTAGCAATATCCGAGCAATATCATGGCTTCGGACACCGGAAATGGGCTTCACGCATGTTACAAATGT